CGACATGAGTGGGCGACGAGCTAAAAGTGCTGAGCATACCGACGCCTTACTGACGAAAGCTCACCAGGTACGATGGCCGAGTGGTCTAAGGCGTGTGACTCAAGCGAAAGCTTGCTCTGTATGTAGAGCACAAGAGTTCTCATCTACGTAAGTAGGCGTGGGTTCAAATCCCACTCGTATCAACCCTTTTTTGTTTTGCCTCGTCTCACTTCCCCTTCGCCTGCGACGTTTCTAAGTCGGTTTCGTGATTTTTAGTGCTTCGACGGGCGAGATATGGCCTAGTCGGATATTACCCGCCTATGCCGGCCGAATCCGATGAAGAACAGCCTGCCTTCTCCATGTCTCTTGACGTGGGTCGTTTTCTGCTTGCTCTATCGACGTCTTCACGTTGTTTTTGCGAGTTTTTGGGTATTCATGGGCGAGACATGACTTCTTCACACCCCCGAGCTTCATCATCCTTTCGTTCCACTCGACTTCCTCGGCACTCGCGTCCATCCAACTCTCGGCTTCCAGAAGGCCCCCGGCATATTCCGTTAGAGGTTACATCCAAACCCCACCGGAATCGTGCACTTTTGCTGCCTTACCATCGATCCAAACCCCACCGGCTCGCGGCGCGACGACGACGAGCTCCCATCTAAACCCCACCGAGAATGGCGGCGTGGCCCCGTCAGTTGACGAGCGCAAGGGGTTGTCATCCGAGCAAAACACTACACAAGGCCGAAAAATCGACATATCCCCTGAACCCGGGACACCCACCCACCCATTTGCTTCCGAATACATCCGAAAGCGTCCGCGCGGGTCATTGAGAGCCTTAGAATATTCTCAGGTACCTTAGGATTATATAGGAGGAGCCCTGGAGATCCTTTAAGGTCTCTATGACGTTGTTACTACTTCCCCGAGGTACGTCGCCGGTTTGCTTCCGGCTTTCGGTCGGAGCCAAATCCGGGTGCAAGCAGGTCGAGAACGTATAAGTCCCACGGAATTCACCTGTACCTCACCAGTTTCCGTTACCTTCATAGGGAAGGAACCGCGTGAC